CCTGTTAATTGATTAATTAGTTGCAGGACGATGCTACAACATACTATTATCATTCAGGAAAGAAATTAAGAAACTAATCAGCTTCCCTCTCGCGCAAAGCACACTGATTTTCCACTACAAATACAGCTCGGTCAATGCCGTATAAAGAATTCATCGCTGTTTATTCTAAGATCGGTATGGGACACAGAAATTCACCTACTAATCAGGAGCGTCTGACTAATTCTACAGAATTATTTCCATCCCTGACTACAGCACTGAAAGCTTAGGGCTAATCACAACAAATGACTCCTAGCTGAACTCTTTAAAGCGTGGTGGTATGCACAACTTACTTGAAGATTCACAAATTCTGCATTTTGCCGATACAAAGTTCATGTGTGATTCTTACAATAAACAATGATTAGTTCTGTATACAGCATTAACCGGTTGGCCTTCTGCGATTTTATAAGATACGAACTGAATTTTCAGGTAAGGTTATTTCGATGAACAACTGGCCTACTTTGCCACACACAATGGCGTTCTTATTTCGGGTTTCGTTTCTGTACTCGTAAATTTGAACGTTGCAGCTAACAGTGTGTGCTGGCACCCTAACTCGAGCCTGCGTGCTTTCTTAGGAAGGTTATCAAATTGTAGCCCCTGACTGAACGATATATTGAAACACAAGTGAAATAGAAAAGTAATTGAAGACAAAATTCTTTTATAAAGTTTCTGTAAAAATTGTAGCCATAAATTCATACGCCTATGAGTTTAGGATGCAAAGAAATTATACTAAACGCCATATTTTCGTAGTGGAAGTTATTTTACAGCTGAAGGCTTCAAATTTTAACAACTATATCGTGACTGTCTGTCATCTATCCTTAATGAGATCTGTCGTGTATTTGTGTGGTTACGAGTATAACCAATAAAAAAAGCTAAAGTTATCCTCGTTAACAGGCCGTGGAGGCCCATAACGTTGTGAGAGGTTGAGGCTCCCACATCTTCTAGACAATCGACTCACAGATGGCGGTAAGGTTGTCAACCTTATGCGCCGGCCGCCCTTTAACCCCCAGTAACATTCCTGGTACTCATTTCTGTTAGAGGCGGAGTCGACCCCAGGGTCATTGTGCGGGTAGAAGGATTAGCTAAATTGAAAAGTCCACATCATCGAAACTCGAACCCGCGACCTTCGGCTTGTAGCATAATGCCTCAATCAACTACGCTACCGCGTACCCCCTCCCCCAAGTATAACCGATACGATACCGTTTCTGTCCTATAAAATATTAATTTGACTTCCATTCCGCTAAGGACATGGATCATGCATTTTCTCTAGCAGTCGTGTAGTCTGTGGGTTGGGGCGCCATGCTACTTTCAACGAGTTTACCGAACGGCGAAGCGTTTTCTACTTTTGGCACTTTCCGTGAAAGTTTATGAAGAAATATTAATTTTAGATATTTCGGTAAATTATGTAAGCATTGTTTATACCCAAGTTGGTCTCCTTGTATTTTTTTGTAATTCGTGATGTGGAAAACACGACAGATCACGGTGGAGATGTACACGCTCTGGAACACTAGAACTCGCTCAGTAATTCCATACGAGTTGTAAGTCGTCTCCAGCAGTTCCAAATAATTTCCACGTAAGAAAAGCATTGAAGGTTACTGTCTTCTGCGGTATGCCACCATGATTTCTGGTAAATTGTTAACAACGTTTCGGAGGAACTTCTTGCTTACTTCTTCATGGTAGAAGAGACACGACAGGATACACGACAACATCCCAGAAAAGAGTAATGGTCACAGTCAGTGCCTTAAGAAACTCATATGTCAAAAGAAAAGCACTGTTTTGAATTTCAGCCCTTGGAACACTGTGACAAATATTAGCCATCGGCGTTGAACTTTTCATACCTTCATGTCCACAAATCTTGTTAAATTCCATGACACAAACTTCTTGACAAATTAAACGTCTTTTAATTAAATGACTTCCATTGATTGGAGTTATTAATTTAAATACCAGTAGTTTAAACTATTCGGAGGACATCTGTCTTAAGTTGTAACTTGTTTTACTCGTACATACATACAATGCGTTCAACGGTCGAGGAAACCTGACAACAAGGCACAGCGGAAACAATATTTCTCCGAGAGTGCAGCTGTAACTACCGATGGCAGAATGAGTCATTAACGCTGATAAATGCGCGCCGTTAGGTGTGAGTTTGTCACTGAAGTAAGTCGCATTAATAGTCAGTCTTTATTAGAGGTGTCGGAAGGCGGTCGACATTTATACTGAAATTAAGTTCACTATTGAGCAGCGTGTTTATTGTAGAAACTTTTTCAAGGAAAATAACTAAACAGAAAATGTATTCGCAATTTTTGTCGTAAATATCCTGACTCGCCAGTTTCCACAAAGTCGTATGTATCCAAGCGTGTGAAAAAGTGGCGGGCCATAGGTTCAGTGTGTCACATAAAGAAGCAATCGAAGAGGATTGAGCTGACTGAAGAAAAGGTTCGGGATATTGACGCACGACTACAAATCAGTCCTCGAAAATCGTTAAGACGCTTAGCACAGGAAACCGGTGTTTCGTTAGGATCTGCTTTCACAGCCACAAAATTAATCAAATTTCGCCCGTATAAAATAACAATTTTGCATGAGCTGAAACAACCAGATTATGCAGCAAGAATTAGTTTTTGCAACTGGCTGCTGCAAAATGTGCACGATGGAATGATCCACAGCTTCTGTTCATGAGTGATGAAGAGTGATTTCACGTTAGTGGTCATGTCAATGCACAAAATGTAAGAATACGGAGCGATGAAACTCCTCACGCTATACAGCAAGTGCCATTACATAGTGAAAAGGTGGGGGTGTAGTGTGCTGTAAGTCCGCGGCGAATCACTGGCCCCTTATTTTTCCACGAAACCGTGAACTCTGACCGCTACGTTAATGAAATACTGAATCCGTTCAAGCAGCTGACTGCTGAAGAAAGACAATATGGGGATTTTCAGCAAGACAACGCTATAGCACATATAGCTAATGCATTCATGGTCGTAATATGGGAAGTGTTTGGAGACAGAATAATCAGCAGAGGACTGTGGCCTCTCCGATCCCCATGTCTGTTTTTGCGATTCTTATCTTTTGGAAACCCTGACAGGGAAAAGTCTACAAGAATAATCCTCGCAGCATTGAAGCTCTGCAGAATGAAATAACACGCCACTTTTTCACAAGACTGGATACACACGACTTTGTGGGAACTGGTGAGATAGGATATTTATGACGAAACTTATGGATACATTTTCTGTTAAGATTTTTCCTTGCAAAAGTTTCGACAATAAGTACACGCTGTTCAATAGTGAATTTTATTTCAGTATAAATGTCGACCAGCCGGTTACGGTAGCCGAGCGGTCTAAGGCATGTACTCTCTTCGCTCCCTTGGAAACCGGGATCGTGGGTTCGAATCCCACTCAGGGCATGGATGTTTAGTTTGTGTGTGTGCGTTTTTTTGTGTTTGTGTACAGGTAGAGGCCTTGAGACGAGCTGATCACCCGCCCAAGGAGTCCTACCGAATGTGTAAGATCTAGAAAAACCGAAGTGAACGGAGATGTTCACGGCGGTAGGCGTAAGTCCACTAGGGCTGTAGTGCCAAGGGGGGGAAAAATGTCGACCGCCTATCGACACCTCTAAAAAGACTGGCTATTAATGCGACTTACTGCAGTGACAGGCCGCGCCATAGCTCAAGCGGTTAGTCGCTGGCTTCCCACGGCAGCGGCCCGGGTTCGATCCCGGGTCTGGTCAAGTGGGATTTGTGGTGGACAAATTGGCGCTGGGGCAGGTTTTCTCCGAGTACTTCGGTTTCCCCTGCCAATCTTCATTCCACCAATTGCTCCACAATCACCCTCACCTATCATCTGGGCCTGGTACAATAGGCCAGAAGTAGCCGCAGTACAAGGGACTTAGTTCCACCCCACTAGCAATAACAAATAATACTGCAGTGACAACATCAGACCACCTGACAGCGCGCGTTTATCAGCGCCAATGACTAATTCTGTGTCGGCAGTTACAGCAGCAATATGTGAGAAATTCTGTGTCCGCTGTGCGCTGCTCCCAGGTTTCCTCGATGGTTGAACGCCATGTATTACATACCCCGTGTAATCGTGATGAGTATTACTATGCATCGAGACAGTAGAGCAAGATTGCATCTGAACTTGCTGCTCGAACCGGTTATACGCCAATTCCATTTGTAATGGATGAGTATTTTCAAGTTCAAACACATTCGCTGAACTGTCTGGTTCATGTGGACACCACATTCTGACAATTTCATTCTGAAAGTTTCATTTTAACAACTTCAAGCATGAATGTTTAAGCGTTTATCCTCTCTGTGCAGAATGATGTATTCTGCACGTGACTTGTTCTTGCACCGAGACTTTCAATTGCCTCATTCTGTGATACAAATATATATGACCACGACAATATACATTTATTTCTCTGCATCTATGCTGAATACTTTCGCAAACGTAGTAAGTAAGATAAACGGACATGAATCTTGACATAAGCCGATATCTTTTTGAGACAGATGAAAGAAATGAAGTCCGAAAAGCTGCTTATTGTCATCATGGCTCAATCCACATATGCTCCGTGACCTTTTGGCGTGTTCACATAGATGCGACTGAGCAGATTCGTGTAACGGCAACCCCTTTAAGATGTGTATACATCGGAGGTGGAGGGGGGTATACTCTTTTAATCTTGGCCCGGACGCCAGTTATCCTGAGGTGTTTCGTGAATTTCCTCAGTCCTTCCGGAACAGGATAGTAGTATCACCTCGATTATGACATGTCCGCTTCCTTTAGAATACTCTCCAGTTCATCACTCAACACTCATTCTACAATTGGACGCTACACAGTCGATACGGACAGCCTCATAAAAACAACGCACCACAAGAGAGTGTAGCAGACAGGCGCTACAGTTCACAGGGCAATCGACTAACATGTGCTCCACGCGCGTTGTGTTTGAATACTAACATAACCTATAAAACAGATTCTTACCTCTTAAAAGCCGCTACACGAACACGCACCAACTTCTCATTCGTACAGACAGGCCGTCACTACACACAACTGAGCTGACAAAACCTTGAGATTATTTTAACTTCGATGCCTGAGCTCGATTTACTTGATATTATATCCGTAACTCGGTGCGTTTATTAACACTACTGTAGTTCACAAAATAATAGCCTATAATTACATTTATATTTTGACATTAGTTACTTAACAGTAATTGATCTTAATGTCTGTCCATCACTGACAGCAAATCCGATCTCAGAGCGACGGAATATGCGAACTACCTCGTGCTACTCGCATCTATTAACCACTTCCCTCTCATGCGCCGCGACTACTAGCAGGTTGTCTGACAAGAACAGACAAGCAACAGGAGCTGACTCGCGCTCTCGAGCCCCTCGAGCCTGCGCTGAGATGTTGCTTACGGGAACGACAAACTGTAGCGTGACGTCATGCAGTCGATCCAATCCAAGGGAGGCTTACGATTTCGTCCTCTGATCAAATTATTCATTTATTTGCTGCTTACTTAATGACGCTTTAACTAAACCATAAAAAATCAGTCATGATAACTGTGGTCCCATCTGAGATTCGAACCGACCACCTCTCGAATACGAGTCAAGAACGTTACCACTATGTCACCCGTTCGGTGCTTTCTGGTCAAATGCGCCTGATCTTTTATGTCTCTCCAGTAAAGCTAATAAAATCAAGAAATAATTACATTCGCGTATACATGTTGTGATAATGCGACTGTCCGCGTCTCATTTATGGGTCTCGTATATCATAAAATTATAAAAACAGTGGTCCCTAACTTACACGGTTAATTCGTTCTGAAGATTTCCGTGTAAGCTGACAACGGTGTAGATCCGACAGTGGTTAAATACGACACATTCTTCGTAATTTACATACCTGTCAATGGATTATTAAACCTACAAATTTTGTACCTTAAAAATGTATCATGCAGGTCACGGTAGCCGAGCGGTCTAAGGCATGCACTGTCTTCGCTCGCTCGGAAGCCGAGATCGTGGGTTCGAATCCCACTCATGGCATGGATGTTTGTGTGCGTTTTTCTGTTTGTCTACAGGTAGAGGCCTTGCGACGAGCTGATCACCGGCCCAAGGAGTCCTACCGCATGTGTAAGATCTAGAAAAACCGAAGTGAACGTAGTTCATGGAGGTAGGCCTAGGCCCACTGGGGCTGTAGTGCCAAGGAAAAAAAAAGTATCATAACATACCATAAGTTATTGTAACACTGTGTATGAACCCTGCATATCCAGTACTAATGGCCAAAGAAGTCGAAGTACCTAAATTGTTTGAATTTGCAAAATGTACCCGTGTGTCTACCGAACCTCATATTCAGTGGGTACCGGGGGTAAAACGGCAGGGGCGTGAAGCTGACCAATCACCTCCAACTAGTGCCGAGGTCAAGAAAATGTGGATCTACACATCTACTTCCCTATACGCCTTCATGGCGTAGTGCTTAATTAGTTAAGCACAGGGACAGCTTTACCTTTTTTTACCTTTTACATGTGTATCTGCGTATCTACGGACTGGCGGAAATTGAGCCCGCGTAAGTCGAGAACCTACCTTGTATGAAAATCATGAGTAGGCGATACATGCGAACTAATAAATACATTTGGAAGAGATCGGAACTGAATGTCGCAGGTGACTAGGCAGCACTCCGCTTTCGTATTGTAGAGGTGTCGACTTCAAATACCATCTCGGATACCGACTATCATGACAGAGGTTTTTCGTGACTATCCTCAGACCCTGCAGGCAAATGAAGGACATTACCTCAAATTACGCCACGTCTGCTTTTTTCCATATCCTTTCCAAATCATTATTCACTTATCATCGTACCATTCGATATTACACAACATGGGCTCAGAGCGTCGTCAGGTAAACCATAAATCAGCAATCAGTATCTGACACTTCAACGCTCCTGCCAGAGTTGTTGCCGTTAGGACATGTCTGAATACAGAATTTTTTTAGAGAACAGCTACTTGAAACGCGAGAACTTGAAAGAGAGGGTTGAGAATTTATTAAATGTATTAATCTCGTAAGATGTCATTTTTTATGATCGGGTGAATGGCATCTGCGTAAATCCTGTATTGGGCTGTTAGTGTGATTGTGTTAAAATGAGTCATTATAGCTAACCAACTAACAAGTTAACTAGCTAACTACATAACTCCACGGAGCTGAGACCTTCTTGAGAAGCCGCCAGTTGTGCAGCTAATCAAGAAGTTGGCTACATGTTATGATGGAACCTGAATTATCATTACCGTGTCCACAACAGTCCTGCACTCGTTCCTATCTTGAGCCAGATTAATCCAGTCCACACCACCTCATCCGTTTAAGATCCATAAACGTATCATCCTCTCACATACGTCTAGGTCCTCCTAGTGTTTTTTTCCTCTGGTTTCCCACCAAAACACTGTAACCCCTGCATTCCTCTTTTCTCTTGTAAGTTCATCACGTCCTGTACATTTCATCCTCCTAGACTAGATCATTATAAGTATATTTGGCGAAGAATACAAGTTACGGAGCTTCTCATTGTACATACATTGTCCTCTTGCCGCCTAATATTTCATCCCTTTTGGGTCCAAGTATTCCTCTCAACTCCCTATTCTCAAGCACGTTCAGTCTATTTTCTTCCCTTAATGTCAGAGACCAAGTTTCGCACTCATACAAAACTACAGGTAAAATTATAGTTTTGTATATTTCAATTTCTACGTTTTTGGGCAGAAGACAAGAAGAACATAATGGCAGCATATATTACTTGAATTTAATCTGTTCTTAATTTATTCATGAATCAAATTTCAGTTTTTCACTGTCATTACCAAATCCTTGAACTGTGTCATATATTCACAGTATCTATTAGCTGTATTTATGTCATTAATTTGCCTTGCATTCTAGTGACAAGAACACCAACATGTGCTTAGCTTCTTCTGTGTTTACTTCTGGACCAACCTCCTTACTAGCGTCAGTTAGAGATTTTCTTTGTGGTATTCATATTATCTCTAGACATATTTACATCATCAGCGCAGACCAGAAGCTGAAGTATCTCATTCAAGTTTAGTCCTACCTGGTTTTCCTGGTTCCTCCTAATGGCACATTCTAAAGCAGTGTTGAAAAGCAATGGCGATAAAGCAAAACTATTAGAACTAAGCATATGAAAATTGGCAAGGAGCCATATCATTTTTTTATTGATAGTGAGGTGGGACTAAGTCCCTTGTACTGCGGCCATTTCTGGCCTATTGTACCAGCCCCAGATGATAGGTGAGGGTGATTGTGGAGCAATTGGTGGAATGAAGATTGGCAGGGAAAACCGAACTACTCGGAGAAAACCTGCTCCAGCGTCACTTTGTCCACCACAAATTCCACTTGACCAGACCCGGGGATCGAACCCGGGCCGCCGCGGTGGGAAGCCAGCGACTAACCGTTTGAGCTATGGCGCGGCAGAATCTCAATATTTCAGCGGGCAAGTCATTTCACGTCACGCGGCCACTGAGATCGGCATTATTACACTCTCTAAAGGGTAAATATATGTAAACTGTTTAATATATTCTTTAGAGTGATAGGTAAAGATTTTCCTTTGGTTAACTAATTAAACACCACGCCATGAAGTAGTAGAAGGGGGTAAGAAGTGTAAGTCCACGATTCTTATGCTAAATGAAGGTAGGTCAAGTTCAAGCCCCTGCCAATTTACCCCGGGAAAAGAGCCCCTCCCTCGTACCAACTGGATGGAAGACGGAATGGGCCCCAGAACCGGTCTTGGAGAAAAGTTTCTTGCCCCTGTCGGGAATCGAACCGAAGTTATCCATCCTGTCGCTCTCCCGTCCATATGCTTCAGCAGGATGCAGCAATGGAGCACGAACTAACCAACTGCAAGGAGCTTAGCAGTTATTTAGAAGCCGCCGGTGTGCAGCTACTCAAGAACTTCTCGACTTTATATGGAACCCGCAGATTCATTACCGTGTTCACAAGAGCCCGCCACTGGCCCCTATCCTGAGCCAGATCAATCCAGTTCATACCACCCCATCCTATCTCTCTAAAATCCATTTTAATATTATCCACCCACCCATGTCTTGGTCTTCCTAGTGGTCTTATAGACCAACAGCTGATGTGTCCAATTTAATTTCACTCCTGGACTTTCCTAATGGTGAATTCAAAAGCAAAGCTGAAAAGCAAGGTGATAACACATCTCCTTGTTTTAGACTATTTTGGATAGAGTTTCTAATTCTTACTAGTAAGAACTTGTAGTAACAGATTTTTAATATAACATATTGCACCCCCGTGCCAAAAAAAATGACATAAATCAAAATAGGCACTTTTATTTATGTTTTTAAAAATATACGAACTGCGTTTACTTTCAGGAAAAGCCACATACGTTCATTTAAAATATTTACTTCAAGAGAAAGGCAATGTCGTTTTTCCCCACAGCTGAAACAGTCACGTGTTGCTCGGAATGAGTGACACTTTTGACCTTGGGCTTTCCAGTCATTCTACCGTTTGCAAGAAAAACTGCACTAGAGAGAAGTGACACTATTCTAGAATCACGTAAGAGCTTTTTTTCTGTCTCCATTTCCGAATCAAAAGTTCTCTGTTTTGTGTGTTCTAACAGTCACGTTTTCTATTGTGATCTTTGACCATCATTAAAAGACTTATAAGTTTTATTATTAGTCTTCCCTTATGTTTGCAGACATTGCTTTTGTTGTATGTGTATCTCATTCTCTATTGTATATTTCAGTTCTGAGGTTCTGGTTCGATGCAATATTCTCCCTGTCATGATTTCGGTTGACCATTTCGTAGTAAAGGCAGCACAGGAGGACAGCAACTGGAGCTGACGAACAGAAGACATTCTAAAGTGGTAAATGAAAGGTGTTCAGAAAACACGGAGGGAAATAAAATTGGAGAAGAGTACAAGTCGCTCAGAAGACATGGATAATGGGTATTCACAGACGATGGGGGATGAAACAACTTTAGAAGAATACAGATCAATCAGAGAAGATGGAGGAACACGAGACTGAAGAGATGAAGGAAATCTTATCAAAAGAGACAGCAAGAGATGGTGATAGCAGAAGGGCGTAACCTTTAATTTGAACTGCTAAGTGGAGCGATAAGATTAAGATTGGTTGGCGTATAAAATCTGTTCATTCGGAACGTGATTCAACTTTCGAAGAAGATAATGGCGATAATGTTAATGGTCCACATTACAAAATGGATGGCGATTTGAATAAATGCCCACATTTCTTGTAACAAGAAGGGGATAATCAGCCGAGAGATAATACCGACTGCCCTTCTTCGGATTATGACTGCGACTGACCCATCCCATTGTGATCTGAGAACATGCTG